CCTTCCTTCCTTCCTTCCTTCCTTCCTTCCTTCCTTCCTTCCTTCCTCTCTTTCTTTCTTTCTTTGGAATATACTGAAGATAGAACTCCAATAATTGTCGAAGGGTGAATACCACTTTAAAGGGCAGAAAGATAAGGATGGCTTTGCTGCTGGGAGAATGTTTTCAACCACAGAAGCCAAGGAGACAGAAGAGACTAGAAATTTGGCATAAACTAAACTTTTTTACGAAAGCTTTGTGGAGATGGCCTGCTGTGTGTCTGTCTAGCTGGGAACTCAGCGGTGACAGCCGCTGGTCTCACTGGCTTTCTTCTGTGTATTCTTCAAATATATGAACCCAGTCCACCATAGAGCTTTCCTACTTGTGGTGCCTAGAATAGCTACATATATGCCGTTTTCCCAAGACTAGTTCCTTCCATCAGATCTAGATGCAAGTGGTAGCCCTCGGAAATGCCTCTATGACTATACTCCCTGAAGTACCTTCAGGAAGCTAGTTACTCGTATCATCTAGGCTAGTCTAGTTTTGTTACCAAGTCAAACCTTATTTGTGGTCTTGATTATTATCTGCATTCCTCACTACAAATTGCCTAAATTGCCTTAACCACCTTGTACCACAAGCACCCAGGATAACTGACACTGTGTGTGCCCCATGGGGTTGTGGGTAACTACTTTAAGTTTCTGGGCCATTAATAGGTAGAGAGCATTACTGGTTGGTTGACTATGCTCACAGCCCCTCCCTGCTTCTCAGAATTATGGGAAGACACAGGACAAAATGACAACATAGTGTGTGGTGCAGTAAATCTTGAGAAGAGCCCAGAGGAAGGGGAGAGTGTCTACACTGGGTTTGAGCAAGAACGTAGAAGTCTGTTCTGCAAACTGAGGCTTGAGGAATCCATAGGAATTGTGAAAGGGGTGAATTGCTCCAGGTGACAGGAAACCATCATGGAAAGATCCTAGGGAGCTTGGTGCTTTGTAGGAACTGAGAAAAGGTCTGAGTGGGAAACTGCCCTTCCCTGTACTGAGCTGAGCACTGCACACTACACGCAATCTTGGGCCTGCTAAGCTCTGTGTTCCTTCCCTCTGGTCCCACCTTCCCCCTGCTCAGAACTGCTTATGTTTTTCTTCCAGTTGAAGGAAAAGTTGGCATTTTTGAAAAAGGAATACAGCAAGACACTTGCTCGCCTTCGGGTGAGTGAATCGTATTTTGTCAAATGAAGATGTTGCACAAACTGTACAAGATTTTGTTGGTTTGGTTTGGTTTGGGTTTTGAAACAGGGCCTCACTATGTACTCCATTGTGGACTTGACTCATAAACCTGGAGCTTGAAGATGGCTCAGAGGGTAAAGTCAAATGAGCTCAATGCCCAGGACTAACGTGGTGTCTTCTGACTTCCACGAAAGTGCTAAGGCATGGGGGTATTCACGTATGCAAACACATACACAGTAAATCAAAATATAATAAAAATAAATACACCCACAATCCTGCCTCAGCCTTCTGGGTGCTAGGATTCCAGGTGTGCAGCACCACACCTAATGGGAAGAAAGGTTCTTGGTGGTGATAAAACTTTAAGCAAAATTGATTTCCTGGGCTGCTTTTGTTTTCTCTAGCGTGCCAAAAAAGCTGAGAAGGTTAAGAACTCTAAGAAAGTACAAGATCGTGTGCTCCAGCAGGAAATCTCCTCACAGCTAAGTCACTCTGGTAAATTGGCTATTCAGTTACACTTGCTTTGTATTCATTCCCCAATTGGTTGATGTTATTTTTTCACAGACCATAGAAAAGAAGCAGTAGACTTCTTGAATAACACAAAATTCATGTTTTACAATTCAAACAATACCCTGTGCCTTCCGTTGGACTGCCTATTTAGTTGCTCTTTTTCTCCTCAAATTTTAGGAACTATATTCAGTGTTTTAGTATTGAAAAAGTGAGTTCTTAAACTTTTAGTTATTTTTGAATTTATTTTTTGTTATAGTGATAATCTTGCCACATAGCCCTAGATGGCCTAGTACTTTGTTTTCCAGGCTGTCGGCAGTCCTTCTACCTTAGCTTCAGAAGTGCTTGAATTGCCTGGGCCACCATGTCAGGGTCCAGTCTTTGTGAAAATACTGCATGAATAGCTATGTATATGTTTCTGTGTGGGTCTGTTTTTGATTCTTTTGTGACTCTACCCAGGAGTGGCCTTAATTGAGTCTCGTTTATACATATTTTCCCCCCTCAGAACCTATAAATAAAAGCTTTCCAAACAACCATCTTGATGAAGAAACTGGAGAAAGCATCTCTGTGTTACTTGATGTTGAACCTCAGTTCTTTAACCATAAAAATGGTCAAGGAGAACTCTGTACACAAAGAGCAGGTGACATCCAAGAACAGGTTTTGCACAGCACCAGCAGCCCTGATGGTCAGAAAGGGCAGAGTACACTTCCCGGGAGAACAAAGAAGCTATGGAAGAAAACACCTGTTTCACAGGAGAAAGAATATTTCTTTGACATTAACTCTGTTATACTTCCTAGTAAGCAACAAAAGACACAGGAAGCAATCAGTAGCAAAAGTCCTAGGTCCCCAGTAATCGAAAAGACTCATCTTTTAAGTCTGAAGTCTAAAACTCCTGACCCCCCAGCCCTTGTTACAGAAATTGATGGGGAAAGTGTATTAATTCCACCATCTGGGAAATCAGAAAGGGGTACTGATACACCGGTAAGAGGAAATAATGTGTCCATAGGGAGTACAGTTCCTTCCTGTACTGCGTCAGACAACAATCTTAGTCAACACCCTGAACGTGCACCTCCTAACAGTGACTGCAAAAGTACTATTCAGGGCCCAGCTTCGTCCAGAAACCTGGAGGTACAAGGCATAAAAATGACTACGTTTACAGATAGCCCTTTAGAACATAAAGCTGTGAGTACTGGTGGTCACCTGCCAGGAAGTCCTAACTCAGAGGCAGGGAATTCATGTTCTGTAAATGATGTCAATCACAGTATCCTGGCGGCTAATACTACCCAGAACTTTAAATCTTTGGAATCTCCTGGTAACATTGTTGACGGTAGAAATGTGAATCTTCAGGAAGATGAAGTTCTAAGTTCATCTAGCAGCACTGCAGCACTGTCTCCTCCCCCCACAGAAAGTCAGGTACATTCCTGTACAATGCTTGAAGGCCTTCTGTTTCCTGCAGAATACTATGTCAGAACAACCCGTCGAATGTCAGACCGCCAGAGGAAAATAGCTCTGGAAGCTGTAATCCAAAGCCATTTGGGTATCAAGAAGAAAGGGCTTAAAAATAAGAAAAAGGCAACTAAGACTGTAGTCCTCTCCGGGGAAGAAACTGACCAAAGTGGAAGTAGTGTGTTGGCCACATGCACAGGTCAGTCAAGTTCAGGAAGTCCTCCTCAGGAGCTTCTGTTATCAGCTGAGGTCAGCTCTCCCCCAGGACCTGCTGGAGCTAACCCATCTAGGAAGGCCACTGCACAGGCACTTCGTAGAGGACACAGAAGAAAACGAAAATCAATCCGAGCCTCCACACTGGATCATTGTCAGCTGCTTTTCCCTCCTTGCAGCACACTGGCTGTTAGCATGTCCCAGGGCAAATTCACCGAGCATAAGTGTCAGAGCGGGAAAGCAATTGTTGACGGTAAGAGAGTTGAAGGTAAATCAGATTGTGTTTGATAATGCTTGATGTGACAGCTAATCATCACTGTGTAACTGGTGCTTGTAAATTCAGTATTACTTACTGAATCACTGTTCTATACAAGGTAGAACCTTTTATCTTCACCTTCAGTTGAGGAAAGTAAAGCAGGGGGAGGGTGCATTGATTTAAATTGTAGAGCTAAAATTGAACCTGGCAGTTCAGTTGTATGATTGAAAAATTCACATAGCAAAAGAAATACATTGGGTGCTTACTCAAACTGATACCTATTCAGATGAAGTAAAATGGAATATGTGTTAGGTAAAACTACAGAAAAGCTCCATCATGTAATAGAAAGTATAAGAAATTTAGTGGATACCATGGCTGTGGTCTATGGAATATAAGATTTTGGAATAGCAAGCAAGAATATAACAAGCTTTTATTTATTTTCTCAGAAGTTAATCATACCTGATAGACAACAGAAAAATTGGATCGCCGTGGCTCTAGATAGGGAATGAGCAAATACCTGCAAATATAGACAGTGAATCATTTTTTTCACCTACTCGGCTGTGGTGCAGCAACAGACAATATGTGACTTAGCATGTTCTCATAAAGCTTTGTACATAAAAAGGCAGTAACTTGTTATATGCCATTGAGCATAAATGTTTGTATATGAGCTATAATTCATTCAAAAATAGGAAACATGGCTCCCTTCTAAATCAACAACAAGAAAAAAAGGCTAGGTGTGGCAGTGCATGCCATTAATTACAGCAGAGGTAGAATCGGGCAGGTCTCTGAGTTTAGACCATCCAGAGTTACATTGTAAGACCCTGTCTCAAAAAGAATGAGGGGGAAAAATGCACACCAATAATATTCTGGGAACTTTTTGCTTGGAGACAGGTTCTTCCTATCTAGTTCAGACTGGCTTCGAACTCAAGATCCTTCTGCCTTAGCTTCTTGAGTGCTGGGCTACCTTCCCTAGTTAGACATTCTTTTTTTATACTTTTAGATAGTCATGTGCAGGGTATGGTGGCACACACTTTTAATCCCAGCAAATGAGAAGCACGCAGATCTCTGTGAGTTCGAGGCCAGCCTGCTCTACAAAGCAAGCCCAGAACTGCCAGGCAGGCCTCTGTTACACAAAAAAACTCCATCTTAAAAAAAAGTGTCTGTTGTGAAAAAAGTGTCTGTTGTGATTTTATTTTCTTTATGTGTAAGAGTGTTTTTGCCTTGCCTATGTCTATGTCTATGTCTGTGTTCCATGTGCATGCAGTACCAGTGGTGGCCAGGAGAGGCATCAGAATCCCTTTGAGTTTGGAGTACAGATGGACACTACTGTCACTTAACTTGCTGAGCCATCTCTCCAATCTCCTGCTATGATTTTAGTAACCTGAGCTACATTAAAAAACCCTTTCTGTTCCCATTATCAAGCTTATTATTCATATGTAAAAATTTACATATGAATATTAATAGAGTTGTTTTTAAAGCATCATTTGTTAAAACCTACAATAAAACCTATTTTAATAACATTAAAAAACAGGCCAAGAATTTGGTGCTGCTTTCTGGTTTTGGTTTGTTTGTTTTGAGGAGTGTGTGTGTGTTTATTTTGAGACGTGCTCTCTAGCTCTTGGTTGTCCTGCCATTTGCTGTGTAGACCAGACTTTCCTAGAACTCATAAAAGTCCCCTTGCTCTGCCTTCTGAGTGATGATACTAAAGGTTGTGCCTGCAAATCTCAAGTTAAAGTCTTTAATTTCAAATTAAAGTCTTGGGTCACCATAACCAAGCCTAGTGATACTTTCTTAAGGTCAGAGAAGGGACATGGTGTTTGCTTGTTTGAGGTTGTTTATGTGTTTATGTGTGTGGTTTTGTTCATATGACTGTAGTGCCTGAAGGGGTCAGAAGAGGATGGCAGAGCCTCTGGAGCTAGAGTTACAGGCAATTGTCAGCTGTTTGTTCCAAGTGCATTGTGGGAATCAAATTCTGGCCTTCTGTAAGAGCAGTACATATTCTTTTCTTTCTTTCACTCCTTAGATGTATTTATCTTACAACTGTGTATATATGTGTATTCTTATTCATGTGAATGCAGAGGCCAGAGATGTTGGAGGTGGAGTTATAGGTGGTTGTGAGCCAACTGATATGCACATTAGGGACCAAACGCAGGTTCTTTAGAAGAGCCATATCTTTAGAAAGTCTCTCCGTTGTTTCCCTGACTTCAGAAGTTCTTCCACTCATCAACTCAGAACTTTATCTCTTCCACAGCTCGGAAACTGTGTGTGCTAGTCGCCATCTTGGCCAAGAAGAGCAATATCTTAATCTCCAAGATATTGCTCCAGCCCCAAAGTACATGTTCTTAACCACTCTCCCAGTCCCAGGGGCATGGATTTAATAAAGGTGGTAGGATAATAAACAATATCAGTCTTTGAGAATTAGAAACTTTTCTAGATGTGACAATCACATAAAATTAACTGCTGTTTGTTAAGTGGGCAATCCAGTGTCATTTACTGATTCGCCCGGTTCTGTGGTTGTCCTCTCTAGCTCAGAAACGTTTTATCACTCCGCAGGGAAGCCCACACCCATTGAGCACTTGCTTTCTAATTACTCTTTTCATTCCCAGTCCATATGAGACTACCAGTCTACTGCATTGATATCTGGGGGATAGGGAGTGTTGTGGACACTTGAGATACAAGGAATTATGTGACGTATGACCTTTGCGTTTTGCATGTTTGTTTTCACATAGCATATGTCCATGCTGTAGAATGTATCCGTGCTTCCTTCCTTTTGTGGCTGAACAGCTTTCTGGCTGATCAGTCTAGCTGAACTAAGGAGCGCCAGGCTCAGTGAGAGATCTTGACCTAAAAGAAAGTAAGGGAGGAACCAGGAGCAGATACCACCTAACATTGACCTCTGGTCTCCACTGCGTGTGAACATACACATGTGGAAACATATATATGTACACCAAAATAATAACATTTCATTATTTTGGAGTAACGATTATGCTTTCATTGCAACATGAGAACGAAATCCTAATTTTAAGGCAACTTGTCTTTTCTTACTATCACAGACTTTGAATTACCTGATGAAGACTTTGGGCCTCTTAAGCTTGAAAAATTGAAGTCCTGCTCAGAAAGACTGATTGAGTCTTCTGACTCAAAAAACTGTGGTGAGAGGCTTCCTAGAGAGGGACATCGTGCTGCTCTGGAGGAACTGCAGATAGATTTGGAAATGGTAGACGCGGAAGAGGAGCTCACCCTTCCACCAGGAGAAGTACACGATCCAGGGCCAGCCCTGAAAAGGCAGCGTACAAGCAAGGGCCTTTCTTCATCCATAGTGCTTTTCACCCCTGCAGAGACTGCTACACCTAGTAACACTGGCAGGCCTGCTGCCTGCCAGTGTTCACCCGCTTTCCCCATCTTGGGCATGACGCCAGGTTTTGGCTTCCAAGCAACCAGTGAGAATGTATCTACTGAAGCTGGACAGACTTTCTGTACATCCCAACCTTCTCACTTGGGAGATACGAGCAGTCCTGCTAACAATAATAATAAACAATGCCACAGTTCAGCCAGCTCACCCAAACTGGATACCAACCTGCACATGTCAGGTAGACAAGGACCACCTGCCTGTGACAGTGACTCTGGCCCCCAAGCAACACCTCTACCCGTTGAGTCATTCACTTTCAGAGAAAATCAGCTCTGTGGAAATGCATGCCTCGAGTTACATGAACGTTCCATTGAACAGGTACAATCGTTTCCTTTGTGAAATTTTCTCTGAAAGGATGAAATGTCTTAGTGAAAATGGACAGACAGCATAACTTTCTCACCATTGGCCTCTCCGTTTTTAAAGATTTTTTTTTTTTTTTTTTTTTTTTTTGGTATGTTTGAAATGACCTCAGTGTAAACATTATGTTAAGCTCATCCTAGGAAAATTAAGGCTAATTAAATTACGTATTTTGTTATATTTGTTTTTAGTTTATGTACATTGATATTTTGCCAACATGTTTGTATTTGTGAGTGTCGGGTCTCCTGGGATTGGAGTTATAGACAGTTTGGAGCTACCGTGTAGATGCTGGGTAATAAACCTGTAACTAAAATTGGAAAGGTAGCCAGTGCTCCTAACCACAGGGCCATCTCTCCAGCACCCTAAATTGTGTATTTAAAAATACAAGGAGGGCCCAGTTCTTTTTGTTTGCAGTGAAATAACTGCATTGCCTTTGTGCTGTTAGAGGCAGCCGAGGTAGCTTTGCTGCTGAGTGAGTGAGAAAGGCAAGCATCACATAAAGTAAACTCACAGCATGGCTTTTGTTTCCACAGACTGAAGCCGCAGCTCTCCCTGCTTGTGACCGCTTGAACCCAGGCAACCTACAGTTAGTTTCAAGGTTAAAGGTCAGAAGAATGTCCTCTTATTATGTGTCATGGATATTACAACGAAACACTGAATGAGATGATGAGAAGGTTGAAAAGAATTCTATCACAAAACTTTAATTTTTTTTGTTTAATATTATTAAGTATATTGAGAAACAGATATAGAAAAGCAGATTTTAATTCTTTTTCACAGTATTTAGTTATAGTTATATTTTCAGTTATCTTCCTGAAATTTACGTACCAACTTATTGCCAAGAACAACTTAAGTTTTGTTTGTTTGCTTGTTTTGTTTTTGTTTTTGAGACAACAAACTCACTATAGGCTGGCCTCAGACTCACATAGATCTGCTTGCCTGTGCTGGGATTAAAGGCATGTTCTACCTCACTTAATTTTTTTTTAATGAACTTAAGTTCATTTAAATGAGCTGAGTAATTTATTTAAATCAGATATTTTGACACAGTAGGGGATAGTGAGACAAGAGTCATTTATGCCTCTGCTAGTAAATGATGTAATATTCTTCAAGAATCACTTACAATTTATAAGAAAATAGGTTGTGTGGTGGCACATTTGTGCAATATCAGTGCTCAGACAAGTAGACAAGTAGACCATGAGTGTGAGGCCAGCCTAGACTGCCTATCAGTTTCAAGGTCAGATTGGGCTGTACAGTAAACTCTTTCTCAAGAAAAGGAAAATCCCAATTCTGGGTTTTGATGTAGTAAATGTTTAATTACCTTATCCAGAATGGTCTCTAACCATTGCTGAATATTCTTGGAATGGAAGTGAGACTTCGGAGTCTTTCCCAGTTGAAAACCCCTGGTATTACAGCAAAAACTTCAAACACATTAGTGCTGCTGCCTGATACTGACAGATTAGACTCTGAGCTCCCCTGAGGCTCAGAGGAACCTCTGAGATTCCTGTTATGTAGCAAGTACATAGAAATAGTACCTATGCTCTATGTCAAAAAGCTGTTCGTGAGTCAATTTTATTTGTTTTGTTTATTTGTTCTTCTCTAATACGTTACGCAAAGACCACAATCTACACCTCCCTGCTCCCCGAGATCCTCTCCTCCTCTGCCTCCCTTCAGAAAAGAGCAGGCCTCTAGGGATATCAACTGAAGACAGCATAACAAGTTCAATAAGACTAGGCACAAACCCTCATATTAAGTCTGGATGAGGCAACCCAGTAGGAGGAAAAGACTGCGAAGACCAGGCAAAAGAGTCAAGAGACAGCCCCTGACTTCCACTGTTAAAGAGTTCCACAAGAACACCAAGCTACACAACTGTAACATTTGTGTAGAGGACCTAGGTCAAACCCACACAGAGTCTGTGATTGTCACTTCAGTCTTTGTGAGTTCGCATGGGTCTGTCTTTGTTGATTGTGTGGGCCAGGTTCTTATGGTGTCCTCTACTTGGATCAATTTTAATATCTTAGATTCAAATGGAATTTATCATTTTGTTCATATATTCAAGTTTGAATGTTAAAATTTATATGTTACAGTTTTTGTCAATGTTTATATAGCTAAGTCTTTCCGTTCTCCTATCTTCTTAATTTAATTATTAATTTATTTGAGGGAGGATCTCTTATACCAGATTGGCCGTGTTCTCCTGGTATAGCTGACTATGGTCTTGAACTTCTGATCCTCCTGCCTTTCAAGTGGTCGGTGTGCTGAGTTACAGTATGTTCCATCATTCCGGGTTTATTGGGTGTTAGAAATTGAACCCAGGGCTTTGTACATACAGAGTATGTACAGGCAGGTACTTTGCTAAATAAGCTATATCCCCAGCCATATTCTTCCATTTCCAAAAGTAATTCTTCTTGCATTTGTCTTTTTTGTTCATGTTTGTTTTCAAAAGCAAATAGTTCTTGATTATACTGATTTGTTTTGTTTTTGAGGTAGGGTCTCAGTGTGTAGCTCAGGCTGGCCTTAAACTGAGGAACCTTGTGCCTCTTATTTCTGGTACTGGGATTACAGACATGCATCACCACACCTGGTTCATTCATTGTTTTTATTTGGTTTTTGTTGTTTTGTTTGTGTTTATATTAACTTCTTGGGATGTATGCTATTTATTTTTTCTGATAAATGCTGTTTTGGCCGTGCTTGTGGGTTTGACACCCAGTACTCTCCTTATCCTCATCAAAAATGGCATATTGAGCTGGGTGGTGGTGGCACACACCTTTAGTCCCAGCCCTCAGCACTTGGGAGGCAGAGGAAGGTGGATATCTTGAGTTCAAGTCCAGCCTGGTGTTCCAGGACACCCAGGGCCACATAGAGAAACCTTGTCTTGAAAAACCAAAAGGTGGGGGGAGGGAGACATACTAAAGTAGGACATGGTGGTGCACATCTGTAATCCCATCACTTGGGAAGCCAGCCTGGTTTACCTTTCAAGTTCTGGACTAGCCAGGGCTACACAAGGAGGCCCTGTGTTTTGTTTTGTTTTCAAGTATATGGTACATGGTTTCAACTTTATTCTCTCTTTAACTTATGAATTGTTCACCAGGATCTTTAATTTCCAAACAGGTCAGTTCTTGTGGATTATATTCTGTGGCTAAATCAGAGTGTATTCCATTCTAGAATTACATAATCTAAAACATTTTACTTAGTTCTGAAATTACAACATATATCATGATGTAACTCTGATAGATGATTTTAGTTTGTTGTTTGTGTGTGTGTGTCATAAAATTTATAAAGCTGCGTAAAACTTTCATTTTACTTAGCTGGTTCTTGTCATCTTTGTAATTCATCACCTTTGGTTCTTACTCTTCATTAAGCAGAACTTTAACATAATTTATTTTGGGTCAGAATCCTTCCAGTTCCTGTTCTGTGGACATGAGTGCTATGTGGTGGGAAAGAGCTGGTGCTAAGGAGCCATGTATCGTAACTGCTTGTGAAGATGTAGTTTCTCTTTGGAAACTGTTGGATACTTCGCAGTGGGAAAAAGTTCATACCTGGCACTTCACAGAGGTATGTCCAAGCCATGGTGTACAGAGGTGATTATAGCCAGGCTTTTGGCCACTTTATTGGGTTCTTTTTCCTACCTCCCTACACCACCTCTATCCTTTCCAACACCTATTACTAGGAAGGAAAGAAAGAAGGATAGAGGAGAAAGGGTTCGTAGATCTTTTAGACTACTCCCTGCTAATTAGGAGCGTTGAGTTCCTTGGGGTGAGTTTGGTCTTCAGGAAACCTCCAACCAGAAATCTAGCAAACAGCAAAAGCAGCAGTGGGGACGAGCAACAGCAGGGAAGCAGCAGCCACCAGAGTTCCTCTGGGGCCCTAGCATTATATACCCTCTCAAAAGTCCCTAGGATTCCAAACATAAGTTATCTACAGCTGGCAGAATCACACCCCTGATCCCACACCTGGGATTAAAAGGAAAACACCTTCACATAACATTACTGGGTTTTTAAAGAGACCAAAATCCTCACTACAGGTGGCAGAACATCTACCTACTTAGTGACTAGTAACATTTCCTTCCTCTTTTCCCTGAGGGTTACACCCAGGGCCTTATCTATGCCAAGCCTGTTACTGCCGTTGAACTTCGCTTTATCCCCTAAACATAATGATTTTTCTTTTTCCTTTCCTCTTTCCCATCTTCTTTCCTTTGTGTGTATGTGTATATGTATATGTGAAGCTCTGCATTTCAGTTCAAGTACATGTGTTTATGGGGGCCAGAGGACAGCACACATGTCAGTCTTCAGGAGCTGTCCGTCTTGCTCTTTGAGACAGGGTCGTGCATTCACTTAGAACTCATTAAGTAGGCTGAGCTGAGTGGTTGTTGAGCTTTAGGGATCTACCTATCTCTGCCTCCCCAAAGCTAGGATTACAAGTACCTGCTGTTTCACCTGGCTTTTTACATTGGGTTCTGGGAGTCGGATTCAGATCTTGTGCTTGCAAGGCAAGCACTTTACTTAGCAAGCGTCCCAGTCCTTGGTAAATTTTTCATAAAGATTTGTCTTTACGCATGTATATGATGTTGGGGAGGGTATGTGTATATGAGTGCAGGTGCTCATAGAGGCCAGAAGAGTATTTTGGATCCCTTGGAGCTGGAGTTACAAGCAGTTGTGGGCTGCCTCGGGTGCTGGGAGCCAAACTCAGGTCCTCTGAAAGAACAGCAGTGATTCTTAGCTGCTGGGTCATCTCTCCAGGGAACCCCAGCTCCCCTCCTGAGGCAGAGTCTCTCTGTGTTGCCCAGGCTGGTCACAGTCTCGGGAGTTCGGGTAGTTTTACTGCTTGAGTTTCTCTCTGCCCTAGAATAAGTTTAAATGGCAGCATAATGCTGTCTTCATCTATGTGCTAGAAATTACTAGTTCTTCTGTAGAGGCATAAATTGCATTAAATAAGCACTTATTTGCTTGGTTTAAATGTATAGTCCTAGCTACAAGAGGCTGAGATAGTGCATGAGGCCAGTACTTTGAGATCAGTCTTAACAACACAGGGAGACCCTATCTTAAAAAAATTAAGGTAATTACTAACCTAACTCTTAAGGAATATTGCTATTTAATTGTTTATCTGGGGGTTTTGCTAGTGGTCTTATTATGTAGCCTAGGCTGTCCTTGAACTTGGTGATCCCCCTACCTTACCTTCCATAGTACTAGACTTACAGGTATATACTACCACATCAAGCTCATACAGTTAGAACTGTAGCATGTATGGTTTTTCTGAGGTCCCAGGTATAGTGGACATGTCGTTAATCCCTGCAATTGGGAAGAAGAGGCAGTGAGGTCAGCCTGGTGCACATACTGAGTTCAGGTCAGTTAGGTATATATTCATAAGTGAGACCCTGTCTCAAAAAAGAAAAACCAGCCAGGCACGGTGGCACGTGCCAGTAATCCCAGCACTCTGGGAGGTAGAGGCAGATGGATCTCTGTGAGTTCGAGGCCAGCCTGGTCTACAAAGTCCAGGCTGGCCAAGGCTACACAGAGAAACCCTGTCTCAAAAACAAAACAAAACAAAACAAACAAACAAAAACCCAAAACAAAATCAAAAAAGGAAAACCAAAACCAAAACACCAAAGAGGGGCTGAGGGGCAGAAGAAGATTTTTCTTAACTGTTACATTTGTTTGAACATTAGAAATAGTCTGGATACCATGAGCATTCAAGAGAATGTGATTACCTGACTCAGTCCTGTAATCCCAGTTACTCAGGAGGCTGTGGCAGGAAGAAGTTCAGGGCCAAGTAAGACAATTTAATATGACCCTTTCACAAAATAAAAAGTAAAAGGCTAGGAGTAACATAAAGAAACAAATATGATATTTTTTTGTAAAATATTCATGAAACTATAAATGACTGAATATAATTTTCTTTTATGTAGATTCCAGTATTACAAATAGTTCCGGTGCCTGATGTTTACAATCTTATATGTGTAGCTTTGGGAAACTTGGAAATCAGAGAAATCAGGTATGCAATTCCTAAGGACTCCACATATGATCTCTCTCTTGCTCTCACACTCTGCCATCTTTGTTCTCTTTCATTATTTTGAGTGGACATTATAACCCACACTTAGGTCTTAAAAGCAGGGCATCTTAAAAGAAATTGAGTTTCCTGGCTGGAGAGATAGCTCAGTGTTTAAGGCTACTTGCTGCTCTTTCAGAGGATCTGAGTTGGGTTTCCAGCACCTACATTAGGTGGCTCACAACTACTTTCAACTCCTGTTCCAGGAGCTGTGACACCCTCTTCTGGTCTCTCTAGGCACCTACATATACATGGTGCACATATATATACTCTGGCACATAACCATAAAACAAAATAAGTACATGGTTCTTTTTAAAGTTAATTTAGGGGAACTGGAAAGATGGCTCCATGGTTAAGAGCACTGACTGCTCTTCCAGAGGACCCAGGTTCAGTTCCCAGCACCTTCATGGCACCTTACAAATGTCTGTAACTTCAAGATCTGACATCCTCATACAGACATACATGTAGGCAAATCACAAATGTACATAAAATTTTAAAAAAAAAAATTGTGTTTGGTATATATAGGGTGTTGCTGTGTTCCTCTGGTGATGAAAGTGAAAAGCAAGTCCTACTGAAATCTGGAAATATAAAAGCTGTGCTTGGCCTGACAAAGAGGAGATTAGTTAGTAGCATTGGGACCTTTTGCAATCAACAAGTACAAATCATGACATTTGCTGAAGACGGAGGGTAAGAAAAGATTGGTTGGTCTCCACTGTTCTGTAGCAGAGGTTTATCTCAGGATTCAGGGAAAGGGGATGGCTAAGACCCTGATTTTCTATGCTAATGGTGTAGTAGCAAGCATGCATTAATGCCACATTGCAACCGATGAGGAGGTTAAAGAGGTGGAAGTCAGGGAAGCCAATGGGGTGGAGAGGCTCAGATAATGTAGTTTGTTTTTTCTTTGGCTTTCTTTGAAATTGCTGTGTATCTCTTAAATGTTAGAAGTAACCGTTCCATATACTTGGTGTCCATTGCTTCTTTGACGGTCTAAATGTTAGCTAACTGCAAACATGCATTTCTAGTTCTAAGCTATTTCTCATGTGCTCGACCTGTGTGTTTGTTTAACAGTCACCTCATAGGTACTTCAGGTTCAGTGTATGGCAACCAGAACTAAAAGCGTTTTCTCCTTTTATCAGGCCTTTGTTGCATTTTTTTTCCTACTTTGTTTTATCTTAGTCCAGGGGTTAAACCCTGGATAATACTAAGCATATTCTCTACTGTTGAGCCATACCCTCAGCCTGTTGTACTTTATTGTTTCTTTGTCATTCCTAGTAACAGAGGGCAGAGATCTTATTTGTCATAATTAGTCCTGAACCAAATGGTAGTCCAGGCAAGAGACAGTGCTTCCTTAGATTAAGAAAGTGAACTACCTGTGCTGTACACATATGTGATTCCAGAAGCTGGGAGGACTGGTGAGAGTTGAAGTCAGCCTGAGCTATATAATGAGTATTGGGCCAGCCTGGACAGCAAGATAACCTTGGCTGTAATCAAACAATCACAAGGAAGGAAGACAGATTTGTGAGAAATAAGCCTGCAGAGTCACTAAACCTGCTGATTAAGTCACTGAAGAGGACTAATGACAATAACTGGCAATAATGTCAGTTTTCAGGGTTGGTCACCTGCATAGATTGGTAGTTCAGTCATTGAGGTAGAAATGGGAAAGAATAGACTTAAACAGAGTACTTACGAATTTAACACTGGCTAGAGTGAATTTCAGGTGATTGTTAACCATGGTCAAGAAGATGAGATAAAAACCTTGTCCATTGTAGAAAATTTAGAACATAAGTCTTCTAGTTAAAGCTTTTTTCTGGTATTCATGTAGTGTTTTGTTATACACAGTCCAGTAATGTGTAGAAGGACTACTTAGGGAATATGTTGGTTCAAAAGTGGTTTTCAGTACTGTTTTAAATACAGCAGCAAAGATGAACAGCTTTTGATGCCCCCTGATGAGACTATACTGACTTTTGCTGAAGTCCAAGGGATGCAGGAAGCTCTGCTTGGCACTACCACTGTGAACAACATCGTGATCTGGTAAGCTTTTGCTCTAGTCCTCATCTGTATATGTGAACATGCGTCTGTTTTTATAGACTTGTGAAGGCTGGGTATGCTGGTCATGGGCAGGGTGGTACAACCTGTAATCCCAGAACACTGGAAGCTGAGCAGAGGAGGCTGATGGATCACAGCCGGGTACGTGGAAAGACCTTGCCTCAGAGAAACATGACTGTGGTTTTCTTTTTCACTGTTGAGGCTTTATCCTGTTGTTATCAAGAAAATGAATCCAGATATGTGAAAAAGAACAATATGAGTTAACCAGTAAACTAGCTGCCACTCTAGAGAGTCCTGATGCATTTCCACTCTCCCATGGTGGCTCACAACTATCTGTATCTCCAGTTACAGAGGACTTTATGTCCTCTTCCTGCAGACATACAAGCAGGCAAAACATCCATATACAGAAATTTAAATTAAAAACAAGATTTCAAAAAAAAAAAAAAAAAGAGGTTGTCTTTTGCTTGATATGTGCAAGGCCTTGGGTTTAATCCTCACTACTACAAAATAGATAATCAGTAAAATTAAATAAAGAGAACTGTGTGGTGAAAACATGGAGCCGCAGCTCTGTGATAAACTGCTACCACAAGGTTGTTAAGGTCTGTAGGTTCTGTCACATGGGTTCTTACCTTCCGCATCTACAGGCTAGGGATAGAACAGAAATGGTAACGGTCGGAGGAGAACAAAGTGGGGTAATGATGTGGAGTAGATTTCTCATTCCTTCAGCTTTAAGCCAGATTGCATGTCCCATTTTGACCACCAGGTAACTTAGAGCTTACTAGAGGGAGAACCTTCTATCCTGTTGGTTTATAGAACCAATGGATAGAATTCAGGGTAACTAGCAGATAGCAAGTAGGAAGAAATGTCTCAAGAAAATTGACAAAGAAGTGCTACTAGGGGTGGGGTCTTCATTCACTTGGTCCAGTGCTCCCCTCAAAAGCAAGATGACCCAAATTTGATCCCCAGAACTCACATTTTAAAAATTTGGCCATAGAGGCATGCAAACTATAACCCAGCTCTGTGGAAGCAGAGAGTGGGGTCCCTAAGGCTTACTGTCTGTTCAGTTTAGCCTATTTGGCAAATTCTTGGCCAATGAGACATTCTATCTCAAAAAACAATGGGTACTGGGGTGTGGCTCTGTTGATAGAGTGCTTACCCAGCATGCAAGCAGCTCAGGGTTTCTATCTCCAGCACCAAATAATTACTGTATATTGTGGCACATTTCTATTATGTTAGCACTGGAGAGGCAGAGACAGGAAGATCTCTGAGTTTGAGGCCAGCCCTGTCTATATAGAGAGTTTGAGACTAGCTAGGGCAATATAATGAGACCCTACCTTAGACAAAAACAAGGTAAGGTGAGGGAGATGGTGAAATGACTTAGCATGTTGAATTCTTTCCCTGTAACCTACCTATACATGGAAGTCAAGAGCTGCCCCAACAGAATTGTTCTCTAACCCTCACATATGCACAGTGGCAAGTGTACATACACTCATACATATATACACAAGAGTAAAACAAATTACAAGGTAGCAAAAGGAAACCCAGATTTTCCTCTGCTCTTTGTGCACACTCAAACACATGAAAAAGGAGCCTTAAGTTCTGAGTATAACGATTGCTTAATTACCTGGTACACTTACTATGTTTTGTTTTGAAACAGGGCCTCACTTAGTAGGTAGGCCGTGCTCAAACTCAACTGCTTTCTTGCCTTAGTGCCTGAGTGGTGGGATGCCAAGTATCCATTACCCTCCTGGCTCCAGCTGGCCCTTTAAACTACTTGGAACAGGTAAACTGCCAGCAGTTCCATTAAAGCTTCGAGTTAACTAGAATATCAGCATTTGGAGTTTGGATTCAGCTGAATTAACTGTTTACTAGAATAAGTAAATAGCATCACTATTCCTCAGAAGAACCTAAAAGAGTGACAGTTTGAAAATACTAACTATAAGAAATACATTAATATATCCTAGCATGCCTTCTCTCTGTTTTCTCCCATTCACAGCTGGTAGAGTGGTGTATGGGTGTTCTTGTTTTTTTGAGAAAGGGTCTCACCACAGTCCAGACTGGCCACTGACTCACATTCCTTCTACATCAGCCTCCCAAGTGCGAGAATTACAGATGTGCATCACCTGGCTGTATCCTTAATGCCCATCTTAGCTCCTTGCTTAAGTAAAAGGGCTCAAAATATATTGGTTGTGCCATCAACAAGGAACTGTCATTGACCTATTTTTACTCATTTATTTGTTTATTTTCTTTCAAGACTTTCTGGCTATTGGGTCCAGGCTAACCTGGGATTCACTATGTAACCCATGCTAGTCTCAAATGTATGATCTTCCTGCCTCGGTCTCCCAAGTTCCATGATTACATGTGTGTGTCACCATGTTCAGCTAGTGTTTATATGTGGTATTTGTTTGCCTTTCCTATTCAATTTCTGATCTATTATATTTCTGAAGTGATCCATGTTATTATAGTTAGTATTTGAGTAGTTTGTGTGTATAGTTGTTGGTCAGAGGACAGCTTCTTGAGGATTGTTTTTGAAGCAGTCTGTGTTTCTCTTGCTGTGCTTAAATTTCAGCCTATCTGGCCTCTGAGTTTCTTATTGATTCTTATTGTTTCTTATTGTCTTTCTTTCCCATCTCTTGTAGGAGAGAGAGGACTGCAGAAGCTTGGCATTGTATCAGGCTTTTTCAGGGGTTCTGGGCATTGAACTTGGGTCATCAGGCTTCCCTACCAAGAGCCTTTACCTGCTGAGCCTTCTTTCTGGACCTCAGATGGCTTATGCTTATTATTATTATTATTATTATTATTATTATTATTATTATTATTATT